AGGCAGTGTGTTGTGTTCGCCCCCCGCAAAATCGTAGCCGCTCTGCCCGGCGTTGCCCGGCTCGCGCTTCTGGAGGGGGGAAGGAGGAAACGTGCCCGCGTTTCCCCGCCGGCTCCAGCGCCGCTGAAACCGCCCTCGCTGCTGCCTTCAGCTCCTCCTGGCTCCGTGTCCTGCTCGGACGTGATGAACACAGTGTTTACCGTGCCCTCCCAGTCATTAATGAAGCTGCTAATTAAAGGCAGGCCCAAGGAGGAAGGCAGCGAGGCCCCGCGGCGTCGCTCCCCTCCGGCGTTCCCCCTTCCCTCTGCGCTTAGGTGCCTTGCAGGCCATGTGACGGTCCTCGTGCCGCCGGCGTTCGCAGAGTCCCCTCCCGCCAAGTAGCTCGCTTTTATGGCACAGCCGCCGCCTTCGCTAATCCTCCACGAAATGACTTTCTTTTTTTTTTTTTTCTTTTTTTTTTTTCCCCTAAAGTAATCTTTTTTCTTGAGAGGTTGAATTAAAAAGGGTCATAAATGACTTGCAAGCCTAATGGTAATTAATAAAACTGAAGAAATAATTGGCCGTTATTTTTACACGTATATGCCTAGAGTCAAACTCCTAAATCCCCGTGTCGGTGGGAGAGGGCTGGGTTTCCCCCCACCACGAAGCAGCAGCCGCGGTTCCCGGGGCCGTACCAGCGGTGTTAAGAAAGACGCACGCAAAAGGCTGGGGAAAACGCCGAGTGATGGAGCAACGCTCCCCAAAGCCGCAAAGCTGAGCCAAGGGAGAGCGTGCCGGAGCACAGCACAGGCAGAAAGGCAGCTACCGCCCCTCCGTGGGCCGACGAGGATATCCAGATGTCCGGCGTGGATGGAAACTGGTGCTTTGGAAGCTCCTGAGCTACTTACTCTCGAAAAACAGCACATTTAACCCATCGCGCTTGCCCCCGCTGGAGACCCGAGCCCGGGAGCTCGCGCAGGAGTTCGGAAAGGGATGAGGCATTTAAGGGCAAGGCAGTTATATACACGTAGGTAAAAAAAAACAGAAGCGATAATAGTCTTTCGTGGCTCAGAGCATAAATCAGCCTTTTACTGCTTTCCCTTCAGCCACAAACACCTAACTCAGGGGATTTTTTTTTTTTTTTTTAATATCCGTTTGCGAAGTATCCGGACGAGACCGTTCCCAGGGAGCGGGGGCGGCACCGTCGCTCTGGCCCCGGCCCGGCGGCACCGTCGCTCTGGCCGGGCCCCGAAAACCCGAGGATGCCGCCGCGCCGCG